TACCATATTCAATTCTCTTTTTCTCTTCTGTCATTTTCTAGTCGATTATGTTCTAAACTTTTTTTCTTTTTTTCCGACCAACTTCAGATTTGAGTTTCTCGTTCTTTTCTCACACGACCATTTTCAAGGAAACATCAAATCGAAAAATCAATGTTCAAATTATTTTAAGTGTAAACATAATGTTTTTTTTTTTTTGTTAAAGAACATAATGTTTATTCGGATACGATAAAATGTTATGCTTCGATTGGACTGAAATTTGTCCATAGATAGACTAAACATAGTATTTATTGAAATATGAAAAAGTAAATCATAGCTAACTAGTCGAATTTTGTAATTATAATGAATGGAATGTTCATCACCAATAACTACAAGTTCAATATGGAATATTGTAAATGGACTACGTAACATGTTGTTTTTAAGTGATTATAATAGACTATCGTAAACATAGTATTGATTGACAAAACATATCATATCTAACTAGTCGAATTTTGTAATTACGACGGATGAAATACACCGGTCAACAATGACTACATATTCAATATCATATATGCGAAATAGACACAAGCTAAAGAATAATGAACATATATCATAAACGGATATTATTTTTAAGTGATTATAATGGACTATTTTGTGATCACTTAGAAGCAAACAGATAATTAAATATGAATGGATGATGTGTACAATAATTATTACTTTTCTTCAAAAAATGTTATCATATGTCTATAATAAATTATCCACAATTTGTAAAAGATTTTTTTTAGGTTTTGAAAAATGTTGCGTTGTGTACGATAATGATTATTTGATTTTTCAACAATATTATTATGCATCCACCGTAACTTATCCATAATTTGTATGTCCATACCAGATATTTTAGGTTCTTAAAAATGTTACAGTGAAACGTGATCTATTTTAAAAAAAATATTTATTTTGAAACATCAAATTATTAAATGTGTCAAAGTGTAAATCACTTGTCTTCTTCCAAAGCTAACCTTTTTCTCTTTAGAAACTGTAGTATCTTTGATTTTTCTCTATTCTGTAAAAGTTATAGCACATTAAATGTATTCATTAATACACTAGGAGAATGCTTAGCATAGAAATTAATAAGCAAGTAGGTTTTTTATTTATTTAATTTTTTTTTTGAGCAAAGGTTTTTTATTTTTTCTTCAAGCAATCAGGTTAAGAACACTAGTTTATATTATTATATATATCATCATTCGTCATTTCGTTTATGAGTACATAGTCTATACTTTTACCCCTGTTTTTTTTGCTAACCTAGTCTATAACTTAATATATACATATTCACAAATCACAATATTTTAAATTTATTTTTAATATTTTTAATAAAAAGGCATTCGAAAGTATCATTCTATTTATTAGATGAGCATTTTAATCAATTATAATGATATTATTTCATCAAAGTAGAAGTGTATGACTTTTTGCGACATTTTTTTTTTTTTGGTCATCCTTTGCGACATGTCTATACGTGGGAGGTATGTTTGAACTTTATTTTGTTTTGCCATTTTATAAAATACAGAAAAGGTCCGATTTTAGATGCAGAAATCAGGTGGATATCCAAATCAAAACTGGAATAAATGAATAAAAAATGTGAATCATGAAGGCCACTTGTCAATTGTCAAAACATTGTGTATTAGTAAGTCAAGCCTCCAAACTACTTTTTGTTTCTCGCTTAATTTCTTAAAATACCTTCTCACGCAAAAGATAGAGTTGGTATACATTGTTATTACGTGTTTTCTGCATGAATTTTCAGTATCTTTCATGTAAGATTATTCTATAACATATATATATATATTCCATTATAATCTATAACTTAAGTTACATTGAAACTCCAATCAAAGTTCGTTTTGGAATCAGAAACACGATGAAAATGCGTTTCTTGAAAATATCAATTTGAAAACGCAATCAAAACGTCGTTTTCAATGGAAACGCAATTTTTGATATAAAAAAAAATTAAAATATTAATTATGAAACACTTATATTTTCAAATTTTATGTATTAGATTTGTGTTGTTTCAAATATTTTTCTTTAATATGG